TTCCCCGGCGCTCCGGGCCCGCTCGCCCGGCCGCGGCCCCAGCGCTTCCCCCGCCCGGAGCTGCCCCGGCCCCGCCACCGTGCCCTTGGGAAGCACCCGCAGGCCAAGCGAGCCCGGCCCCACACTTGCCACTCTGTCCCGTCCCCCTGCGCTTTCTCCTGTCTCCCTGCGGCTGTGCCTTGCTGAGTTCCCAGAGAGTTTGTCTTTGACCGTCGTTTAGAAAAGCTATCTCTCTTCGGCGGTGTTTAAAGTTGTTGTTAATCAGTTTTAGACATAATCAGATGAATTACACGTAAGGGGAGTACGAGTCCTTAGGTGCTGCTTTTTTCGGGTGTTTCAGAGGAAGATGCTAATGGAAGTTTTCTCCCCTTTGAGGCAGCATTTTGCAATTACGAAAGCAGTGACAGCCTGGTCTCGTTTTACTCTTCCCTCTACGAGGGCCTCGTAGTAGAGTCGTCTATTCCCCCTTTAAAATACACGTTAGTTTTCCTTTTGCTTTTTTCGCTGCTCAGAGCTCTCCAGCTCTTTTCAGAGAGGAACCACGGCAGTTCCCCCACGGTGCTGCTTTTAGGAAGACCCTTCTGGCTCCTCGCCTAAAAGACTGCTCGTAAAGTTAAAACAAATAACCTGAAAGTGTAAAGCCAGTTCAGATGATCTCTGGCCCAAAAACTTCATGCTGTGCCTTTCATTCAAGGTTAAGTGGTAGGGAGCTGATTTTTCTTAATTACGGCAAATATCACCTGGATCTATTCATCTCACCTAGTTTAGACAAACTGTTTTTTCAAATGTGCTCACCATTACTTCCAGTGACACCAGAAAGGTGCTGTGCTGCTTGCCCCTGTGCTTTTTCCTACTTTTTGTGATATATCCAGTTTTTTATGGGTGTTGTAACACGGTGCATACTGCAGGTGTTAGTGTGATAGAGTCTCTGTACCTGTCTGCTCAGATAACTTTTCAATGTTAATGTTTCCACCTAGATTTGGTATCTCTTTCTGAGCAATCTCTCACCACATCAAGATGTAGGAACAGCTGCCCTGGAAGCAATTCAGTGTGGTTTTGTCTGAGCCAGTCCTTTAGGGGGCTAAGAGTTTCACAGCTACTGCTCTCTTGAAGAGAAAATTTAGCCTCTTGTTCCTCAGTGCAGCAGAGGAGGAAGGGTAAAAGCAAATGGATTCTTCTTCTCGGATATATATATAATGTTTTGGTTATATGGAGTTATTGTATTTTGGGGATTCTACCCTATTTCTATGGATGCATATTTGACCTCTGTAAACTATATTAAATTACAATACAACAGCACTAAAAATTAGTTTTCAAATTACTGAAAATTAGATTTTAAAAATAGTGTTTTGTTATGTTACACGCAGGAAGTCTCACTGAGTGAATTTTTTATGTCACCATGTCTGTATTTAGTCATCGTTAGGTTTTAAAGTACATACTTAATTTTCAAATAAAAGCCAGGTCTAAGGATAATATTGCCCAAGACTTTACAAATGCTTATATATTTGCATTATTTCCATGTGTAAATATCCCTACTGCCACAATAGGAGCTTGGTTTGTTTTGCATTTTTTTTGTGTGGGTGGTAATTTTGGAAGTCACTATTAAAGATCTTAGCTTGCATAGTTGAATGAGGGAGTTTAACTGTATCTGGGCTTTTAAGAAACGAGATTTAAAAGTATTTTTGATTACCAAGAGGAGTTACTGAAAGTTGCAGTACATATATTTAAAGATACTTAGACTTTTCCAATGGGAGCAATGGTTCCAATTGAGAACCATGGAAGCTCCAGGTCACCGAACTTGCCAGTTTATGGATTTATGGAGAACCATTTGTTCTGTGGAAGCATGGGATGTGATGTAAGAATCAAAACTTCGTGTTCCAAACTGCAGTTTCTATCTGTGGAATTGTGGTGAAATCACCTCTGATTTATTTAAAATCACATTGTACCTTTGTCTGTTTAATTTTTGAGTTTTCTATAAACTCTTTATTACCATAAGCTTAATCTTGCAGTCACAGGTATCTATTGTTATTACTACATTTAAGTGTAGATGAATTGAAGTTAATAATATGACTTTAAAATCAAATTGGAAAGGAATTTTAATCTTGACCCAAAAGCTTAACCTTACTTACTAAAAATGGTGTCTGTGCCATTAATAGGAGTAGCTGTCTCGTTCTTTTTCTCACTGGTTTTGTTGAAAACCTAAAGGTTTCTTTCTCTCTGTTTAGCCTACAAAATCAGATTCTGTGCTGTATGGAAGTCTGATAGTAAAAAAGCAGTGAGAAGGTTGCATGAAAAGGATCAAGAAAGAAACTGAAGACATGAGGGGGATTGTATTAATAAGATTTCTCATTCACTCGTGCTGTTTTGTTGGAATATTCCATCTCTAGATGGAATATCTGGATTTTTATTTCAGGAGAATTCCTACATGCTAAAATGCAAATGCCACACAGCAGCTTTCATTATTTTCTCTTTCTGTTCATGCAGGAGGAACAAGTCAAAGCAAGGGACCCGAACATGTGCTATGTTCCAGCAGGTTCAGTTCTAACAAAGGGGCTTTGAAAGAGTTGTTTGTGGTTCTGTTTGTTAACACTTACCTAAAAAGAAGACCAAAAGAGAATTTTTAGAAAATGTATTTGGTTGGTTTTGTCTGTATCTTACAACCTTGTATCTTGGGCAAACACATTCTCAGAAGGTAGGATGGGACTGAAATGTGTTGTATTGTTCATGGTACTGAGGTACAGTCTGGGTTTTACAACTTGAGTTCAGCTTCTTGCTGTCTTACTGATTCTCCATGAAATGCTGGACTTCTTTCTTTCTAGATTTCTGTCTGTAGAATGAATAATATTCCCCTCAGATCTCACAAGGGAGTTAGGTTGAGTGGGGGATTATAAGAAACGTAAGCTACTTTGGAGGTTCACCACTGTGTGCAGACTTAGTCCAGATAATGCTTTGCATTATAGGAGTAATAACTAAATAATTATACAAAAGGAGCATACGCCAAATAAATCTCCCTGACACCAAGCTGGCTAAAGTTACAAAATTCTATTACAAGGGAAAGGTAGGGAGAGCAGTGTGTAGTGAGAGTCCAGTGCAGAAGTTTTCTTTTGGATAGAGGCAGAAGTAGTAATCTGATGTGCTATCTTCATTGTGCCATCTGCATTTAGATAGCAGAAATTTGTATTTCTGTTAATACTCTATTTACCATAGTTATTTCTGTAGTTCTTGTTTCTAAGAGTAATGCTGGAAAGCAGAGGTCAGAATTTTTTTTGTTTGACGTGAAGTGATTTATTATCAGCTGAGAATCTCGACTTTTTTTACCTTTCAGTTTTACTAATACTTGAGTGAACTGTTTTTGAGCTTTACTATAATGGGATCCTGGGAATATAAACCATGCAAACTCTTTCTTGCACGTGACTTGTGAAGCAAACATTTGGATTAGTGAAAGTTATAAAAAAATGCAACATTAAGGTGAGTTCATATTTTTTGTGCTCCATCTGCATTTATTGGTTCTGTGGGATTAAACACTGTGGAGCATAAAGGAACAAAAATTTAAAAGAGTTTTTGTTTTATATTTTACCCCCCTCAGGTTTTATTCCATTTATGTTTTTCTACTTCAGAGACCTGGTGAGCCTGGATTCAACCTAGACAGAGAAGTTTAGTCAAATTACCCTGTTTTTCTGGAGTTGCCACTTACCCAGAATTTAATTGGAGTCTCTTACACAAAGGTAACCATTATAGCTGCAAGGTGTTGGATTTTAAGAAATTAATGCAACTTTAAAGTGGCATATCTCTATAAACTATCTGATAACTTTAAATACAGAAGCATGTATCTGGAGAATGCAGATACAGAAACCCAAATCTGGAGAATTAGAATTTAACATTCTTCTTACGCTTTTGTCTTCAGGATAGAGTAGATGTCTACAGAGACTATATCCCTTGAGACATAAGGCAAGACTTAAGGCACAGCTGAATAAAACAATAATAGAGTAATAGAAAGGCCAGGAAACTTGTTAAAGCATAGAATTACCTACAGTTGAATGTTGAAAGTCACTTCTCCTCTGTCTTCTAAATGATGTCTAATACTGGTGTTTGCATTTTTTTTCTACTCCTTGCAGGCTTATCCTGGAGATTTGGAGTTTATACCTCCAAACACATCGAACACATGCAAGCCTCGAAGTTATAATCATTCCTCTGCATTATATCCAGGAAAAGGGTCTTCCCCCAAAACTCCAAGCATTGAAATCCCATAAGAGTTTGCCTTTATTTGTGTATATAAGTACAAAATTATTATAATAATAATAGTCATAATAATAATAATAATAATAATAATAATAATAATAGCCTTTCTGAGGGAATTTATTGAATACTTGTTATGCAGAGTACTTTCTTTGCAGTGTGTGTTGGGTTTTTCACCTTCATTATACCATGAAGCAAAAGGGACAATTTTGGTGAACTGTAGCCTCCTTACTCAACAGGCTGCCTGCAGAGTTTCTTCTCCCCTTGCTCTCCAGGGTGGGTACACCTCTGGACATGGCAGACTCAGTATGTTCTTTTCCTGGAAACAAAAAAGGCCAAGGAATGGCGAGCCAGATTCTGATGGTGTCAGTTCAGTGATTTGGTTTGTAGGGAAGCATCACAGACTGAGCTGCAAACCACAGCGCTGGAACGAGCTGCTGAGCACAAGGAGGAGAACATCTGCAGCTGGCATCCCTCTTGGCTCAAAGGTGTTACTAGTGTAGAACCTGAGCATAACTGTATTTATTTCCTTATTTGGGGATTCTGGCAAACTGTCAAAGAGCTTTGCTGTGAATTTTCAGAGTGATCCTGAGGTGGGAAACTACTGTTGCTCCATTTTGCTGTTGGAGGTGCTGAGGTGCTTCTCTCTCAGGGGGACACACAAGAAGTCCTTGGCATGGTGTGGGGAAGCAGAAGTGATGACATTTTTTCACTGGTGGATTTTAATGCCATCACCATGTTTTCCTGTTATCCTGATGGAAATTTGATTTTTCTGGTGAAAATAAGGCCTTCATGGTTGATGTAATTTTATATGTAATTTCACCTGGTTCATAAACAAATTACATGTATTTTTGCCATGTCCATGAACCCAAATTGAAGGCTAAATTAATGGAAGGTGGTTGAATAAAGGGACAATATGGTCTGGGTGCATGAAAGACATATTTTTAAAAGCCACAAAAATCAGAGACCTAACCTACTTTGTTTGCACACCCAAAAACTCTTGCCGAGTGTTGCATGTGCAAGGAATGCAGTGCCAGCAGAGAGCAAGTAACTTTCTTTGGAAATAGAAATGGAAAAGAGTTCATTTTATGCCAAATTTTACCCCACAGTGGATAATTACAGCCAAGTTGTAAACCCCTTAAAAGCAATAAGGCACCAGTATAATGAAACACATAACTGAAATTTACTGTACTTGTGTAGATTGCAAGCTTACTTTTGAATATTTAGTGTTCAACTTCTTAAATCTGTAGTGTTCACAGAGGGCTTATAAGTGCTAGAATTTTGATTAACTGTCTCAAATAAACTACTGCTATTGTTATCATTATAAATCTCCCTAACCTAAGAACCTCAAGGAGGCTGATATTTTCTGTGGAAACTGTAATGATTTAGTTGGGCATGAACCCAACACCCTTTATTTGGAGCTTCCTGTCATTATATAAAAAAGTCTCAGGCTTCATTTACATAAGTTATTAGGGTCTGAAAGGATGATGTGGAAGTCTGACCCAAAACCTTTGTGAATTAATGAGAAACTTTTTTCTAGAGCTGATAATATTTCCCACTGACATCAATGGATGTGGTTACTTTGCAAGGTGATCAGTGAAGAGAGGGTATTAACCCCTGGCCAAAAGGGACAGAACCACGCAGGAAGGGATCATTAGTAATCCCAGGGGAGCTTTCTCTCCTTAAATTCTCTAACTGTCCTACTCTGATTTGTCCTGCTAAAGTGGTTCTTCCCACCTTTGTACATGTGCAGTTTTAATGGCAGAAATGCATTTCTGTCACTTAGGTCACAGCATTAGTACTGTTGTTGATGGAATAAGCTTACCAATGCATTTGGATTAAACATTTCGGTGAGATACCTTTTAAGGTAAAAGCCATCTCCACTGAAATAATTACACAAATACAACACAGTCTTTAAATGAGCAGCAATACTGTTGGCAAGTGTTTCCTTGACATAGAAGTAGGTGTTTTCCATGCAATGAGGCTTGACTAGGAACATTAGGCTCTCAGAAACTTATCTCCACCAGCAAAAGGGCAAGACAAAAGTTTATTGATACCTATCACTCTTGGCCTTAAAGGAACATCTGATTAACCAGATGTTTAAGGAAACCCAGAAGAGCGCTCCTGAATTGCAAAGCAGCTGTGTTTTTCTCTGCTCACGTATTCATTGGCACAGCTGCTTCAGATATCCGGGCATCTAAATTATTCTGACATCAGAAAAAAACCTCTGAAACAGGGACTGATTATGGCCATATTGCTTATGACGGTTTAATGCTTTGGCTGGCTGATCACTGGGAAAACTGTTCAGTCACCAGGCACACCACAGTTAAAAGGTCAGCAGAATTCATGTTGAGCACTAAGAGCTAGGACATTAGGTGCTGTAGAGTCATTCTTTCTAATATCAGTCTCTTTGAAGTAGCTGTCTTAGGAGGAGAAGCAGTTTCCATTTCAGCTTTGTAGTCTTTTTGGTTGCATGCTGGAAATTTTGGTATTGGCTAGATGCATCTCAGATGGCTACAAAATTAAAAGAAAAACTGAAAAGACAATAAATTTGATGTTAAAAATAGTCTCAAAAAGTCTATTAAGTTGTATCTTTTGAATTTCTGTGCATTTTTCCTGTTTTTCTCTCAGTTTCTGGTCTAGATTGTCTTAAAAACCACTGGACATGTTAATAATGTTTGGTATACTTTGAGGCCAGTCTATTGATACCAATAAATTGATTTTCTTTTTAAAATAACTTTTGGATCATCACAAAGTAGAAACACAGCTGTCATAGAAAAGTGTCTGAGAACATTTTTGGAGAATGCAAATCTAGGGAGTATAGTCTAATCTTCACCTCTGGAGGTAGATCACGTGAACTGGAAACAGGACTCTTCCAGTCTGCATTGCCAAGTGACTCTTGGCCCTGTAGGAAGAAGAGAGAAGAGCAGGCAAGAGCCTCATTTCCCTGTTTTTCCAAGTCAGCTAGATGTAAACTCAGTACATCTATCAGGGGCTGTGACTTGCTGAGAGGAATTGGCCCACAAATATAGCCAATAACAGCTTTTGAGGGTTCCAGTTGGGGATTAAAACCATTTAAGGTTTGATTAAAATTATGTTTGTACAACTGAAATGTTAAGTTTGTTTTTTTTTTTTTTTTTAAATTGGTATGAGATGTACTTCAGATTTATTTTTGGAACAAAAAACTTCAAAATTATTGTTGTTTGTAGACCATCATATGTTTTTGTTTTGGTTTATTTATTTTTACAAACTCTTACTGGCAGTCCTTCCTTTCTTGTTGCAGCATAAATTGTGAAGACTAGAATTTAAACTTGTAAATAATGAAAGCCTTCTGACCTGTTTTAAAAACCCTAATTCTTCCTTATGGCTCATGGTTATTCATGTGAGACAATAAAAAGGTGGAGTTCCACGTAAATGAATAATTTTTGGTATGGAAGTGTCTTTTGTACAGGAAAAAAAAACCTGTGGAAGGTTATGCTGATGATGAATGACTTACAGATTGTATTTGCAAGGACTGAGGTCCTTCTGAACCTGTTGCAGCAGATTTTTACCTGGCAGATACAAAGTAGAATCCATTAACAACAATGAAGTGTTTAAAATACTCATGAGACCCAGAGGATAGTGTTCCAGGCTGAAGCACCACTGAGATAGGTCAGAGACTGAAATTAAAAATATTGGTAGTATTTTCAGCACAAACTGAAAATAAGTAGTACAGTTTAGGGGATAGAACATTAGTATGGGAGTAAGAGAAGAGAATTTATCTGTAGTTCTGCTGTTAAAAACTCTGAATGCCTACTGTCTCAGCTGGGCCAGATGTTTCCATCTGTAAAATGGAAACGTATAACAATATCCATAGATACCAAGTGCTATGTGCTGTTTCTCCATCACAGTGTCTTCTAAGCAAGTGTTTTCCTCTCCTGACAGAAACATGTTTTGGACTGGAAAATAAAAATATTGATATAGATTTGTAATACCACATCAAAGAGGTTCTTGAGAAGGAAATGCTACACAACCTGATTTAACCTCTGTTGCCTCACCAGCAGCAGGCTGATAAGTTTGTAAATTAGTGGTCACTTTCCCCTGACATATTATTTAAAATCCATTCTGAAGAAAGGTTAAAACAATTAAGATCTTATCAAGAAGGCATCTGATAAGCTGGCCCTCTGTCATATATTTTGCACCTCTAGAGGAAGGACAGTGTGCAGGCTGTAGAAGACATTGGAAGAGTAAAGGGGGAATAGAAGCATATAAATCCATGTGTTTTTTCAAAGTGAGAGCTTGCAAGTGTTTATTTTCTGAACTGTTTCCAATGAGTATTTTAAGAGGGGATGGATCTGAAAGATTTACCACCTTCCCTAGCCTGGCAGTGCAGAAAATTATGAGTTTGACAGCTTCATGATCTGTATCTGGGTGTGATATTTTTACTGGCTCTTTAGTGTGTATGCCCATATCTGCATTTACAAGGACAACAGTTTTTCTTTCAGTGTTGTCAACATCCCACTGAGAGGTCTTCTAGTGCATAGTTACCAAATGTGCTTGTAATCACTAACAGCAAGATAAATGCTATTATTACACATTGTAATTTCATTAATTTGATAAAATCTGTTTTGGCTTGTCACTTGCTCCCTATCAAAATAAAGGCTGTAATGCTTCACTGTGGTAAGTGGATAACCACTTCATGGCAGGTGTTGAGTGGAGCTGAAAATTATGGCAACCTCAAAGCAACTGTTTGGAGTGATGGGGTTTAATCTATTAGTACTTGTAATAGTGTGGAGGTTTTGCACCAGAATCAACAGCGTGTTTTATCTAAGTAAGATGATCCTTACTGCAGGGATGGTTGAACAGTGTTGTCCAATATTGCTGACCAGTTCTTTTCCCCATCCCCTCTCTCCTCCCAGAAAGGACAGTGGCTAAGAGCAAAAGGGTTATAAAGAGAATAAGCTCTTTGGACTGACTACAGGGCAACTCTGTGAAATGGATGTGATCTCACAAGGCTGGTGAGTGACCTTCCCATCA